CATTGACAGTTATCCTTCCTGTATCTTATGGAGTCCTTGTCTTAGGCGTCATAGGATATGTCTATGTGATTCTGAAAGTATCCGGATATGAACAAACATTTGACGGTATCAGTAAGCCTCGTTTTAAGGATTGTATATGAGGTGTGGAGAAATTCATGTGAAACAAGATCTCGGCAGCTTCCTCAAACACAGTAACTGATTATTATTGGATGCTGTGCTGTAATGATAGTTGGGCTTCTCCATCGCTGAAGTAGAATCGTAACTCCCATAACCCCTTTATAATTTGAACAATTAGTCCCCTTTCTTTTCTTATCGTGCTATCTACATCACATTTCCACTGTGTCTCGTATCGTAACATGGTATCTTGCCTTGAGTAGGTCCCTATTTTTAGTTCTACTCTAATATGGTGGTTATAAAGACATTCCTGTGGTATGTAGAATTATAATTAAAGAGCTCCCATCCTCTGGGGGTCCTGGGTATCTTGGGAATGTCGCAAAACTATATAGCTATATGGATGCCTCATCACTTAACCCCAAAACATCTCCTGGAATGAGAGTCTGGTATACGAAGCTAAAATGGCTATATAATTTCTTCTTGTCATGACAACAGCTGTCTCTTTCTCTTCTCTGGCGTCTATTTTCATGAAGCTGATCAGGAGTATGTTTCATGTGTACTGAAAGGAAATTCACTGGTGGCATTTTATTAGTTTATAAAAAGCAGAATCTTGTTGTCTTTAAAGGTGCACATCAGGAAAATTCAGGAGGGATTTCTATAAGGGGTTATCAGTGGAATTATTATATCACCTCTCTCAGGTGTGTCACCGTCGCCGCTTCTGTTTTCACTTCTTTTTTGGCTCCGTGCTGTTCAATCTCCAGATATTTTATCTTTTCTCACGAGGTTGATATTAGGGAACACATGTGACTTCCTTTTTAATCTCTGTTTTACTAACATGAGAAACGCTTTTTTAATTCATTTGTCGCCATTCACGACTTTCACCTTCCCCTTTTGCTGTTTCGTATTTTCTGTACTCTTCGTTAAAGCAGATCACGAAAGAGATGAGACTGCAGAAACGTATTATAAGCATTCTCACATTGGATGGATTAATAGAACGATATGTAATCGGGAATGATTCTCATGTGGCTTGATAAATATCTGTTAGATGATTATAATTTGTTCCGGATATCTTTGATTCCATTCGTATCCGTCTCCCTGCAGTCATTGTTAGAAGCATTACACCAAGCAACAGGGGTTTGTGTGCACCACACCTGCAATGCCGCCGGGTTATCCTTGTTCTTTTTATTATTTGGACTCTGTCTCTTCCTTAGAGAAGTAGTTTTCCTATATACTCAGGAATGATTTCATATACGATAAACAATATGTCGCTGTAACCTGTCCTATTAATTAAGTTGACATCATGGATAAATGGCTGCGTCCCCTATGTTTGAACCTCTAGGGAAGCTGGAAACACAACGATTTTATGATCAATTAGAAGGGACATATTGGGGGATCCAGGTGCAAAACTCGCTAGGTTAATACTATATAAGGCCGGCCCTCAAATTGAGTTGACACATGAAGGTACATGAGTTCTCTCAACTGGAGGGGGCGTCCTATTTATGAATAGAGGGATCAGGAAAGATATTAAGAAGGAAGAAGCAACCCGTTTGCAGATAGTTGTTCCAACGCAATCGGCAAGAAAGTGCCAGATATTGCACTGGCAATGTCCCACTCTGCACATCGTGTATTCCACTGTACTTCTCACTATATAATCCATTCGACCGCTTCATTCCTTGCAAGATCCTTGTATCAGAACATATTGGAGATTGAACACTTATTCCTCTTGTGTCTTCCTCAAAGATACATTAATTAGTACAGTGAATGCATATTTATCTATTAATGGCGCCTATCTGGGCGTTATATTTTTTTTTCTTTCAATTGCAACACACGAGAAGGGAGACATATGGGATCCTTGGGTATTTTTATCTGCAAGATTCATTTCTCTTGCGTCCCTTTCTTTGTCCAATAAGGGGCAATTAATATTATGATGTACATAGGAGTCTTCTGATGTGAAACATCTCGCCTTCATGTTATATAGAGGCCTTAATCGATTCATTCAGTCAGTGGTGAATATCAAGAACAACAGATCAGGTAGCTATGCAAACCGTCGAAGCAAAAGGATTCCGTAAGGAAGCAGGTAATAGTAAGCTCCTTACAGCATGCCATGTCACAAGTGAATTGCTCTCAATAGAGGAGAATTAACGGCAGAAGGGGTGTTTCCATATATATATACATGTATTTAATATATATAAACACCTATATGCAAGAGGGATAAAGGGAGAAGCGGTACAATATTCCTTTATGTGCCAAGGAGGTATGTTTATACCGACTGTGGCGAAAACAGTATCTAACATTCCTGTCCTTATTGAATAATCTTGTTGGATATTCATCTACCGCTTATGTAAAGATCCTCGTGTGCCCAGAATTAATAGTACAGGAACAATTTTCTCCTAGGAAACCGAGAGATTGAGGGTGACTGAGGAAGAGGAAAAGAATACCCAAATGAATCGAGCAGACGGGTCCTTTATGTATAGATAATATTTCATTGAGGGTCAGGGTATTCTACTAGATGCAGGTGGTTTACAACATGGTCCTATTGAATAAGAGAGAAAGTAGTCATCCCTAGAACATCCCAGGCACTGTATAAGAGAGACGTAAGAAATCTCTGTATATCATCCAGAGCAGTGATCCGGACCGAAGTGTATATACTTCTATTCCAATGACCCCAGAGGTTTTCCCTGGTTATTTAGGAAATAGTCCAACAAGAATTGTAGGAAACTTATGTAATCACTTTATCTTATCTTTTTTTTTTAGATATTAATGATATTATGTCCAATATTAACAAACTCGAATTGTGATTTCGTTTAAGAAGTCCGTAAATTCATATTCATTGACCCGGATCTGCATGGCATTGTGCATGTACCATCTCTGAAGGTTAAAGTAATATTAGTTATTTTCTACATTGGGATTACATCCCCAAGTTATATAAAGCATTCCACTCTGCCCAATACGATCCATCCTAACAGATCAAAAAAGGAAGATGAATACAACTAGGAATCTACTGCAGAGGGAATGAACGGGAAGAAGTATTAACAGGATCCTAAAGCGTGAAGAGTAGATACTGACCCCGAGACACTAGGACATGAAGAGTGAGGACTGATGCCGGCCTACTCAGGAGTAAATCATGGGCCGTGGGAACTAAAGAGTCCGAGAAAGACCCGGGAATGCAAACCCCGGAATCCATAGGCCCTAAACTTGAAACAACGACCGTGGCACCTCATACATGACCAACAAATCCTAATAGACAACCCTAAACAAAATTCGAAGGCTGAAGCTAAGCCATAAGTCTGGCCCGTGAGAGCAACAACCAAGAAAACTACACGATAAGCCCTAAATCCCAAACCCTAAAAATAAGACGTAAACCCTGAACCATGAAGCGTAAACACTAAGCCCCTAACCCCTAACCCTAAAGAGTAACCAAGGACCTTAGAACTTGAAACATAGACCGAAAAATAAACAATGAAACCCAAGATTCTAAACCCATCAACGTGAAACTTAAAACCGGAAACTTAAAACGTGAAACATAAACGCCTAAACCCTGAACCGTAATGCCTAAACCTAACCTCTAGACCCTAAACCCTAAAAATCTAAACACACAAATGTAAATCCTAAACCCTGAACCCTGAACCCTGAAAGCGTAAACCTGAACCCTAAACCCTGAACCATAAATCTTTAAACCCTAAAACCTAAACCTAAACCCTGAAACCCTAAACCTAAACCCTGAAACCGTAAACCTGAACCCTAAACCATAAACCGAACTATGGACCCTGAAGCTGACCCGGAAACGGGCAAGTCCGAAGGGCCAACTCTGACCCTTGATGCAGTGACCCCCAGGGCTCGCCTCCAAACCCTGAGCCTGAACCCTAAATCCTAAAGCCTAAGCCTTAAGGCTTAACCTCCTAATCTTAACACTATGACTCTAGACCGTGAAATCCTCAAACATAAACCCCGGTGCATGCAAACTAAAGATGAACGACGCACCCTTGGACAGCTAAGGAAAAATTTTAGAAGCTGACCCCTCCTCCTCCAACCCAGATACTCCATACAGGACGTGAATTCATGGCCCCTCTGCTTGGCATCCTTACTTTATCCATAATCTCCCCGCCCCCCGCCACGTCGAAGAACACGTTCCTCCCTGGTACTGTCCCCGGGTCTGCACCTTCCTCCTTCTGTTCTTTTCCTTAGACTGTCCCCCGCTGGAGGAAGGGGGACGCGGATTAAGAAGGTCCTGTATCGCTCTTCTCCCTTTCCTCTGGACTGATGAAGTTATCCATTCTCTAAAGTTGGCGAGGCTACTTCATTATTTGGCTTTTCTTAAGATTCCTTCCCTGGGTATTCCTGTCTGGAGGTAGCCCTCTTCTTCTGATCTCCCAACCCCGCTGACTGGTGCACGTTATTATCCTACGCTCGGTCGTGTACCGTCTCTGGGTGTGGTCTTCCCCCGAAACTTGGTTACACTCGCCTCTATCTTTCCTTCTTACACCTACCGTACTTCGTCCCCGCTAACTATCCCCAGTTATTATACGCTACCGGCTGGAGACCTCTCCGCTGTGTTCCTCTCCCCGCCTCCTTTTCCTGCCTGGGGATTTTCCTGGCCTATCCTCCGCTGTGTTGGGCGCTCCTCCCCCCTCGCCTCGTTGTTGGTCCCCCTCAGTTCTTCCTATTGCTTGTGGTGACTGGTGGCGCGCCCCGGACTTTGTCGAGATCTGTTCTTTCCCTCATCGTAATTGTATCTAACCTCCCCTTTCACTAGCCCGTTAGCGCTAGCCCCTTTTTTACTCCTGACTATATTGCTTGCCGGCTGTGTCGCTTATCCGACGCGACTCCTTCTCTCTTATTACTTGTCCTTTATTTTCCTCCTTAGTTCTCTACATCGCCTGGAGGCCTCAGCCCCTGCGTCCATAGTGGGCCTCACGAGTCTCGTCTCCTGGTCTTTCTATTCCACTGATCCTCTTGGATCCGTCAGTTTGTACCTGCGTATCTTCCTTGTTGGTGCTGGTACATTGTCCTCCTTCCGTGCTGTTGATTCCCCCAGTGTTGTGGTCTCCCATCCTCGGTTCCCCCGGTATCCACCGTCTTTCTTGTTTACTTATGCCATCTGCTTTTATTTCCTTCTAGTTCTGGGTTAATCTTGGAGTTGCTGTTGGTTCATATTTACGGAGACGGCTCCATACTTGAGATTTCTGCTTCTCCCCCCTCTACCTCTTCCTATTCTTGGGTTGGTTATCCTCATAAGACCATATACAGCTACTGTTGCGAGTAGTCCCGCTATTATGACGCCTGCTATTCCTGCCCCTATAGCTGCTGTGACTGGTCCTTCCAGGACCTCCCGGATTTGCCCATTGTGATTGCTGATCCGGCTCAAATACTGGGTAAACCTTTCTAGTCCCTTCCCCTCCTGGACGTTCCATAGTTCGTTCCCTGCTTGTTGTCTGCACCATTGAGCTATGTCCTTGACGGTTCCATCTCCTTCGTTATCTCCCGTGTTTTCCCTTTCCAATACTTCCTCACAGAGTGAGGCAACATTCTCGTCGTATCTTATCCTGCAGTACGACTCCGTCCCCTTATGATACTCTAAACACTCACGCTTATAGTCGTCCCTGTGCCTTAACAACTCCCAACGCGTCCTAATATACTCCCGCCATATCCCCATGTCTTTCTCACTACTGCCAGGTCCATATGTCCCCGGCTGGATCCACTGGTCTCCCCTCGCTGTTACCATTTTCCACTTCGATCCTCCCCCTTGTCCTTTTGTGTGTGCCCCGCTATCTAAGGTACAGGCCCACCCTGCCCCGTTGTTAACCTCGTTTACATATTTGGGAACCTCCATTATTAACGGGTACCCTATATCCAGCTGCTGTCTTCCAATCTTATTGCCGCCCTTGGTTGGACTTAACCAAAACCGCATTATCCGGTATGCTGCTTGGCTGCCTCCCCAGGCCTCAAAAGCCTCATAGATTCTCTGGCATAAGATATCTCCTTCATGTTCACTCTTTATCTTCCTCTGTGCCTTATCGGCCTCATATAATATGCTTACCATGTCCATGCACATCAATAACGAAACCTCGTCCTTATTATTTGCTTTCCACTTACTGTGTGTTGTTTGGGATGTATTCTTCCAATGCAAGTATTTCTCCTCTGAGATACACCTTTTCAGAGATTTTGGGATAGCATACTGCGTATTCTCGGCAATGCATTTTGTTGGTTTCCTTTCTGTTCCTCCCTTTGCCGCTCCCTCCTGCCATTTTCCTCCGGCGTTCTTCGTCATAGATGCGGCCCACTCCTGAATGCCTTTGCAGACCAGACCTGCCATAGGCCAATCGAACGTCCAAGCCTTGCCCCCTACCCCTTGGGCATTGGCTTTCCATCTTGTCCTGTCTTCAACCTGGTTCCAACCCCAAGCTAATAAACAACCCCTATATCCTGTGTTATATTGGTGACATCCGTCTGGGCCCGGGTCGTTCGGAATTAGTTTCACGAGCTCCTCCTTAAAATCCCAGCCCCTCTCCTCACCTGTAGTCATGGACTCGCTTCCCATCCTCCTGTTGCAATTAGTCTATATCCCTATCCTGACTCTTATTTGTTGTCCGCCTGCTGAGTTGATGTACTTCGTCCGATCCTTGTCTGATAGGATGTCTTATACTTCATCCAGATTGTCTCCAGGACCTGAATTCGCCTTCTGAGTTCCTGTTAGCTCCCCGGTTGTGGCTTCTCTGTTGGTGAATTTCTCCCTGTTGGCTGTCTTTTTTTTCTGTTCTCCTTAATTCCTCACCCTCCTCTCTAATATCACGCTGTTTCACGGTTCCTCTTTCCGGGTTTAGTCGGCTTCTGACTCTCCTCTTAGCCCCCCCTTCGATTGGTTCTCGTGCCCTACTCTATCTTCTTCTATCGCTGGTTCTCTCTTACTCCCGGCCCCTACATGAGGTCCCGCTTCATGTTAAGATTGCCCTCTGTTCTGGTCTTCTAAGCCGGAGGTCGGTTGGTTCTTTCCACTGCATGGCCGTACTTTGTCCTGCCCCCCCTTCTCCCTTTGGGAAGCTCCGGCTTCGCTGGTGTGAGCGGCGGTCCCTGACGGGTTCTTCCTCGCCCTTTCCTTAGTTCTCTCCTTGCCTTGCTTTCCTTCCCCTTCCTCCATCTCCCCTTGGTCTTGGGCCCGGGGGTCTGGTGGGGGTGCTCCCCCTTGGTCCTCCTCCTAGAGTTAGAGTCCTCACTTCTTGATTCTTCCTGTTCTTCTTCCTCTCGTTCTCGCTCTTTACCCCCTTTATCTCCCCCCCCTTATTCCCCCTCAGTCCCTTCCCCTTGAAATTCCCCTCATAATATTGGGGATTCGGTCGACTTCCTGCCCTCGGTCCTCCCTCCCCAAACCTCTTCTCCTCCCCTCCTGGTTTCCCTAGATTGCTCATTACAAGCTTTCTCCTTCTTGGTTTGTTCTACTTCGCTCTCCTTCCCCGCCCCTTTCAGCCTTAGGGGTTCCTCTTCAATCCTTCATCTCCTTTTTAGCTCCTGATGCCTCCTCCTCTCAGTCGTCGGTTAAGGGCCCGCCCGGAACTCCCCAATATACCCCCCCCTCTCTCCATGATTTGAGATCCTCTGACTAGTCTTTGTGTTTTGCTTCCGTTCTTCCTTTTGCCTTTTTCGATCTCCCGGATCTCGTTCTTCTTGGTCTCCTTTCGTGGCTGTCCCTGCTTCTAGGCTGGGCTGGCTGAGGGATTTGAACTGTGGGTCCACTATGACGGCGCCTTCGCTCCCTTCAAGATAGGCCCATGAACGTGCTCCCTCTTCTTACCCTTCTCTGTTGCGAACCTTCCTCACATGTCTCGGTCGTCTCTTTTCTTTTACTTGCCTTTCCTTTCCTCCTGAGACTTTCTGTTCTGGCTCACGCTCGGATTATCCTGCCTTTCTCCTTTGTGGCCTCTACGCCTTCCCCATCTCCTCCTGATTTCTCCTTATGTTGTTTTATGGATTTATCCTCCATAGGACGCTCTTGACACGAGGGGTCGTTATTACGCTGACTATCCCTCCATGGGTTCCCCCCCTTTGGGTGAGGTTATACGGCAGGTCCCTTGTCTGGACTCCTACTTATGCTCTCTGCTTATCGGGTCCTCTTCCTGCTTCTCCTCCCCTGTTTCCCAGGCCCCTACGGACCCCCTGTCACTCCTCTCCTTTTGCTGTCCCATTTCTTGTCGTCTGGGCCCCCCCTTCCCTACCTTCAGCTTCCCGGTTTGAGGTCGCTACTCATTGTCTGTCCCTGATGGACTCTCCCCCTCTCTTACCTATTCTTCGCCTGTTGTGTCTTTCACCAGTTTTCTTCTTCGTGGGACGTTTAGCTCCCTCCGCTCTAGTTCTGTTGGTAGGTTTTGTCGCTGTCCTCCCCCTTCCGTTCTTGGTCTGACTATCTTCCTCCTGGGGCTCCGATTCGTCCCTCCCTCGTTCTGGCACTTTTAACGTCGCCTTCGGTTTCAGGAGTTCCCAAAATCCCCCTTCTGGCGACTCTTCACTCCTTGAATCTTCTGTTTGTCAACGTGGGATTGAGGTCTCTTAGGGTTGTTTGGGTTTGGGGTGGTGTTTGTTTCCTGTCGGTTTGCTGAATCCTTCTTCTTCCTCTTGCCGATGGGGGGCATCGACCTTCCCTTTTTCTTATTCTCACTTTCATTTACCCGCGTTAGCTTTACCTCCTGAATTTGTTCTTTGCCCTTATTTTGTCGCTTCCGAGCCCCATATCCCGTTGGTTTTTTCTTTCTGGTCTGGCCCCCCCGGGTTTGTTGTCATTTATCTTTCTCTTCAACTTGGGCCTCCTTCTGGAGGATTCAGGTTCTGACCCCTTTTCTCCTTTTTTCGGCCCCTCTTTCTTCTGCGCTTCCCTGGCTTGCATCCCCTGCCCCCTTTACTCTTACTTGATTCTGCCGTTTTATGCCTGGTCATTCCGGTTTCCGTTCCTCCTTGTTCCCATTTAGATTCCTGATCCTCCTGCTCCTTGACGGGGTGTTCGGACTTAGCTCTTATACTCCTCCGGAGTTATCTTGGGGCTTCCAGGACTATTCCCCTGTTCTCCTGGGTTCCCCCCCTTACTCGGTAGCCTCCTGGGTTTCTGGCGTCCTCCCCTTCTTGGTGTTCCTCCTGTTTTAGTCCTTAGTGTCTCATGAGATGCATTATGTCATGCTTCACCCCCCGCCGGTTTGTCCTTGTAACCCTTGTAATTGTTGCTGTACATCATGCGGCTCTTCTCTTCTTGCTGCCTCCTCCCTCCGGCTTCTTTGTCCCCTCCTCTTCCGTAACTCCTCCTGTTCGCCTTTGATCAAAATTCCCCTATTTTTTGGTCCTACTTGATCTGCGCTGCCTTTCACGTGTTCTGGATATCTCTTCTCTTTTTTCGTGACTTATGTACTTCCCCCCCCCC